TTTAATTTTAATTTCAATAGTACAATGTCTGTCAAAAGTATTGTGAAAATTTTTATGCAAAAAATAAAATAATTGCTCAAATTTTATTCCCTACCTTTTAAAACCGAACTGCAAGTAGAAAATACACTGGTGTTTCAGTTCAGTTCTTTGTGTAAAATGGTGGTTAGAGCATTTTACACGGTGGTCTATCATGTGGGTAATTTGAATTTACAAAAGACACAGGCAGAGACACGCTTAGAGCATCTATTTTTTACCTAACTAAGTCTAATCACTAAAATTATCTTGGCAAAACTAGGCTACATTAAAGTGCTACTAGCCTAGATTTCCCTAAAAAACATTTGTAGGCCACAGGAAACTGGGACGTGGTCATGTGAAGGGTGGAAGGGCTTCATGTGTTCCCAATTAGTGGAAAAACGAGAATGCTTAGAGATTGTTCCAAGATGGCTGCTGTAGCCTTAAGAAAAATTATGGATCACAAAATATTACAGTTACAATTACAATATTGATTGACTTATCGTTCAATATATGAAATCTGGAAAGTATTTTGGAACTCAATATTTCAAAATTGATTGATTTATAAAAAAAATTTAATAAAATAAATCAAAGTGTGGATATTTTAGCCCTTTTTAAGTAAAATGAGCTGTAACTGATAGAACATAACTGTTATGGCTAATTATTGGTTAATTCTGCCATTTATTTGTTGCAGCTCAAGCTTTTTAATGATACAGTCTCTTTAAAGGTGCACTATGTAACTTTTTGTTTGGGGCTCTGTCACCTGCTTGTTTCTATGGATATGTCAAACCAATTACAGGTGGTTTTACTTAGAAAAACAGGCATATTGACTATGAGTGGGGATGCTTCTCCACAGATCTGACATGTAACCTGGTCTGGTTTGGTCTCCATTAAGGCAGAAATGTTTAATTCCAAACTGTGAACCATTCCAGAAAAAGCAATAACATCTCCATGGAGAAAAGCATTTGACAGGCCCTTCACCACAAGTTCCAGGCCCTCCAGAAGTTACACAGTGTAAATTTTTAAATATTTTACTGACATGATGTTACTTTGTGTTTCTCTGTAGCAATATATCGTGCTTCAAAATGTGTTATCGTGACAGGCATTCATCTGTTGTTTACATTTTTAACCATGAATCTACTCTTCTATTAAATAACAAGACGCAATGCAAATAGAGTTTTGACAGGAACAAAGATGGTGGACATAAACCCACAACAGCTCAGAGCTTGATAAAGGTAATATTTGCCCTCAGGTTGCGGTGGTGACATGAGACCTATGTACAAATACACGCTATGATTGATTTGGAAACAAAAACCTACTGAGTGTATCTGGAGTCAACGGCTGAAGAGGAGCAGAGCAGTCTGAAGCCATTAAAAAGGCCATAAAATGATAACAAAACGGATGAGATGACATCTGGTGCCTTCTAGTTTGGTCAACGACAGTTACTTCTGCCGGTCATTGCGTACTAAGGTAATAGAAATGCAAATAGCCATTGTAATTTTCAACTGACATTTTCAACAAACAACTGCTGAAATATTTATTGAAATTGCATTATACATTAAAGGTGCACTGTAACTTTTTGGAAGGGCTCTGCAACCTATACTTTCTTACCATGACAGTCGACTCACCACAAATCTAACCAGTGATTTGGGTTGCAAGTCTCCGTGGAGATGAATACGTTTATGGCAACACTGTGGAATATTCTAGGCACATCTCTCTCAGACAAGTTACTCAGTGCACCTTAAAATTAAGTGTAGTGCACATAGTGGCTAAGGTATCCACATCATTCTAATATGTGTGTTTTAAAATTATGACAAAGAATGTGAAAATAAGTTACAAATTTGATAAGAAATATATAGAGATTTACTGTATACCTTCCAATATGTAAAACATTTATTGACCTGTTATGTAATTTGCTTGAGTTAAAGGTGTATTGATTTGTGCTGCCATATTGTTAATCGATGTTATAATAAGTCACGAGGGTAACAAGTCACTGAAGTCACTGTGACAGTACCAGGTACAGCAGGAAGGGCATCTGTCAAAATGCAAAATCAATATGCTAATGAAGCACAAGAGGAAGTGTGTTTTATATAAAAAAATAAAAATAAAAATAAAAAAAAACAAGAGGAAAAACCTCAAAAGCAAAAGACAGAAAAAAAAAACCTAACAGAAGAAGTGCTGAAAATCAGATAGTAAAAGATACTATCAAAATTAGATAATTAGAAAATTTGATCTTTATCTCATAGTAACGTAAACAATAAAGTAATATTATTTTGTGTATGAAAATTACATTCTATTACTTTAGAAGGTGCATTTCATCTTCATTTTATCTTCATTGTGGCATCATTATCAGTGTAGACTTTCCCTTAGTATCAAAATGGAGTTAACCGATAATTTTAGTATCGTGACAACACTAGTTCATATTTGTAAGCTGTTCATGGGTTCATTCAAGGCAGTTTGTAGACAGTTGGGACAGTTATTCCAGACCAACGCTGAATGCTCATGCGACAGAAAACTCATTGTTTCCACCAAATTCCTAAAATGCAGCTTTGCACTTTATGCTTAATCCAGCAATTAGTTGATCGTCGAGAGATATATCTGTATTACTGTATTTTTCTATATTTTAGTTTTACTTGTACATATACTATTATATAATTCTGCCATAATTGACATCAGTCTCTTGCTATTTTTGCTACTTAAAGTTGCATTGTGTTACTTTTCTGGTGGAGGGCTTGTCATCTGTTTGTTTCTACGGATATACCATTGCTTTGCCTTGAATGTCCCACAGTATGACATTAAACCAGCTCAATCTTACATTTATTCAGTTACAGGTGGTTTTATAGCTCAACAATACCTAGAAAAACAGGTATTCTTACTGTGAGTGGGGCTCCCTCTCCACAGATTTGACCTGTAAGTTGCCCTGGTTTGGTCTCCATGAAGATAGAAAGGTTCAATACTACACTGTGAAACATTCCAGACAAAGCAATAACATCATGGAGAAAAACTTTTGATGGACGCTCCACCAGAAAAGTTACACAATGTGCCTTTTAAGAAATTATTACCATTTATATATTTTTTTGGTCTTCGTTATTATAATATATTGTGATGTGTGAGCTACTGTGTCCAAATAATTTCCCTTGTGGATCAGTTAAGTTTGTCTAAGTCTAAATCGGACATGCTTTTGCTCAACTACTGCGCAACTGCTGACAACAAACAACCCCATTCACTTGATTTAACATTTGCCCCTTGAACGCTCTCAACAGTCGCACCGTTTTTGTCTGTGGAAAGTCTGTTTCCTCACACACAGTCAGCTCTGTGTCAGTTGCCGGTCGATTACACAATGACTTGAATATAATTTTAATACATTTAGGTGTTATTATAATGATCTATGGAGAATGCATAAATTTCTGGATACAGTTAGAGCTTGTGCTGATTCATTGAGTTCCAAGTAGGGTAGTCAAAAGTATCAAAAAATCACATACAAATCTATCCTAAAACTACTGTCAGATCTAGATACTTATTTGAGTAGGTATCAATACTAAATAAGTCATATTGACAGGACAGAAATGAGCCTTTCCGGAATAGCTTTAGAAAGATCTTGAGCTGTATCAGAGCAAGTTTAAGCACACAGACTAGTATACACCCATGGACCACTATGGAACCTACCTGGACGATTGAGGGTTTACAGAGATATGAGACTAAATGGTAAAAGAAAGCATTCTTGTTGAAAATCACATTCTGTTGTCTAAAGAGTGCTTTTCATTTTCTCTGTAACAACTGAAGATTGTGACAACTCTAGTCCCAAGTCATTATCCTTGTGAACCAAGTTTGTCCAAGTCTCTGAATTTATCTGCCTCTCAAGTAACCCTGAAGAGCTGCTGTTACTGACTATTGCTATGAAAGGACACGCCCCTGCATGAGATCTCTTGGGAAAAAAGTTGTAGTAGTAGAGCCTGTTTAGGTTTACACAGTACCCAAATAAGAAAGCTCTACAAGCAAAACTATGTCAGGAACAGCTAGTTAGAACAGGTAAAAATTGATATGAGATTTAAAGCCAAAGTACATGTAGTAGTAGAAGTAATATTTAAAGTAAAATGAAGCCTGTGGCATTTTGATGCCCACCTACACAGCAGAATAGTTGTCTCCACCTCACTGTAACTTCCAATATATTAGACACTGGCAAAACAAATGACCATAGTTTGAATAGCACAGTAGTAACTGATATCAGCTGGTCCTTTCACGAGTGTAAGCAGTGTGTGGAAATCTCTTTGGTTTCCTTTTTGCAACAGAGGTTAGGCACATCTTAACAAATAGACACTTCAAAACAACGGTGGTCTGGGATCTCTTATAGAGCAAAGAAAACTACATTGGTTTCCATTGGAGCCTCTACAGCCGCTGTATGTTGGTGGCTTAAAGAGCTTACAGCTTGGTCACTAAAAATAGATAAGCAAGCTGGCGTCTTCAGCGCGTTTCTGGGGGGCTAGCAAACAGGCTACATATAGCTAAAAAGCAAGAGCTAAATCACACAGCTTTTGCGCGCTGAACTGTAATAGCTGTTTAATAATAATAAAAAAGGCTAGCATGCTTAAAATATGTGCAACGGAATTAATAAACAGACAATGATTAGTATAAGTAGGAGCAATGGAAAATATAAGAACGTGATGATTAATTGCACTATTTCTAACGAGACAGAATAAGAGCAGGGGCGCAAATGTTCTGAAGGCTAACTAGCAGGAGTATATAGCGTGTTTTGTGGCCCGCTAAGAGGCCCTGTTTGTTTACCAGCTCCACAAACCGCAAACAAGATCCTATAACGGTGTTCGAGTGGGGAGTTTAGCGTAGCATTTCACCGCTGACACTTGGAGCTCAGAGGCACAGTTACCTCCTCGCCACGACTTGCGCCTCTCTAGCAGCGAACTATGGAAGATCTGCGCGTAAAACAGCGGTGTCATGGGTTAAAATAGTTTTGCAGCCATATTTACGCGTACCTTAAAGACGACAGGTCCAAATGTCGGCTTGAAATGGTCCCCGGGTTGTGCGTGGATGTGGTGACGGGGAAGATCTGTGCGTAATCTGTCCGGTGTTTTCACGGGGAGGCGGTTTCAGAGCTGGCGAGCGGGGAGTTCCCTTCACGGCGTCACCCAGCGTGCGTTTACGGTCTATGAAAAGTGTTGTTTATTTGAGCCCTCACACTCAAATTCTTGGATAGTTTAAAGTAATTCTCTTGTAAAAAAAAAAAAAAAAAAAAAAAAAGCACATAATCTTGTACTCGGCGTTTAATATTTATTCATAAAGTCACATAAATAATTTTGTGTGCGGTATATATTTTATGCTGTGCTTTTATAATAAATGTTAATGGTGGTAAATGGTTTTGGGAAGTAAGAATGTACTGTAGTATTCTAATTCGTTCACAGTGTTTCACGCATACGTACGTTTTGAAACAAAATTAGAAAATAGTACACAAAATGAACATTAATACAAACAAGTTACCAGTTAGTTTTATGTGTTACAATAATAATGTTTAGATTGTATTATAAAAACGTTTACAACTTTTTCATATCGGAGTTCAAGAGAGTCCTTGAATGTATCTAGTGATGACTAAAAAATCATGTTGGAACAGTCAGAGATGACCCTCTCGTTACTCATCTGTAGTGGCCCTCTGGTGGCCAGGACCAAATAACCGGTCTTTTTTTAGTCAACCACAATTCGTTTTAATAAAAATGCTACTACTAATAATAATGCATCAGTTTTATATGGCGCTTTTCTGGACACAAGTGACACAATAATGTACCCTTCTTTTCTTCCATCATCATTTTCATTATGACAACATTTCTGAAGGATAAAAGAAAATAAATTTAAGTAGCTATGGCAACATCCAGTACAAATAATAAACATATAATGGGGTAGGCTTTAGCTTGGTTTGCACATATAGACTAAAAGTAGGTTAAAGTTTCTATCAGTGGTAAATTATAGTAACTCTATCTGAGATCACAAATGATCACAGCCAGACTATATTTGACTGAAACTGTTCACAGGTTCCTGTTTTTCTGTTCTGAAGACCATTACACAAGGAGGACCAATCAAAATCATTCAAATTGTTTCTCACCCTAGAATCCATGGATAGGCTCATTCAAATTATATTTTCCCATTTTGATGTTCTCATTAGTTAAGCATTTATTTTTTATCAGCTACATCACAAAATCTACATGAGTTAACTATTGAAAAATTTACTAATATATTTTATGGGTTTATGGCCTTTTCCCCATTTTGAATGTTATCATACTAAATACACATACGATTACTGGAACTAGAGCTATTGAGAAAGAAGCAGAGAAGAATTTAAATGTTGTGTTAGATAAACTAAAGAAAGGTCATTCAGTTCTTATCTGTTAGATTGTGTGTTTGCAAGAATGTTTCCTTCGAGTTGACTTGAGGTGAAAATGGGTCTATTCTAGTGAAATTCTAGTGTAACTTAACTCATAAGTGTTAAATGCTGTATGCAGCTAAACTGTCATTGTGCAAATTAACTAAATTAACTTGAATTTGAATAGTAGATTTGAATTCTGTCTTGTCTGGAACTAGGCTGAAGTTTGTTTACATTGCAAATCAAGTTCCCTTCTGGACTCTGACCTCTCCAAAATATTGATCTGGTCTAAACCGTGACCACTAAACAATGCTGACATCAAACTTTAAAACTGCAATATCATTTTATTGCATTCACGTCTTTTTTGGATATGCCCTCACTGAAGATTATGAAATACCTACAATTGCAAGATATTTTGGTCCTAAAGGAAGGTATGAAGAAGTCAATCCCTATTTACTGAGAGATGCACTCGCTATAAACAAATCTATGCTTCATCCTCCGAGCTCTCAATGTCGAGAATTGCATATGACTGCAATTATAAGACATGGAACCAGATATCCAACTACTAAGAATATTAAGGAGATGCATGGTCTTTACAACTTCATCGTTAGCAACACCTCCAGTGAGAAGAGCAGGTTGCTAGAACAGTGGACCATGTGGTACACAGAGGACATGGACGGCAGGCTGGTGGAGAAAGGAGAGGAAGAACTGAAGCATTTGGCCGTGAGACTGTCCAGACTTTTTCCCAAACTCTTATCAGAGGAGAAGCTCAGAGGAGGACTCATCAAGTTCATCACCAGCTCCAAGCATAGGTGTGTCAACAGCACCCTGGCCTTCAAGAGGGGACTGACTGAGCTCTGGGACATCAAAGGTAAATTTTTAAGGTCCTAGGTTACACGAAATTGACTCTTGTGAGCTTTAAACCATTATAATGTTGTTTCCTCTTTAAAAACATACCGAGAGTGTACTTCATTCCATTTACACATGTTTGAGTAACCCTTTATTCTTACTCTGTCTCCAAAGCTCAAAATGCTCTGTTTCACTTTGTGATGTCATGAACCAGTAGTTTTCAAGTTAACAGCTGCACTTTACCTTTAGTTCAGTAGAGATTGGAAATTCCAGGGTTGAAATTAACCAAATGATTCTAGTGCAGGTGTATGTGTCTTCCTGTATTACCGCATGACATCAAGTGTTTTCAGTTTGAATTTGCAGGGTTTGTGCGTTGTGTGTGAATGAAATGAACCATAACTCTAGGTATGCTTTTGATGAAAAAACAGGCTGTTCATCATCTAGACAAAACACAACTGAACACCATAAAACAGGACAAATAACATTTGCATTAGTATCTGGAGGATAAAGGGTTGTTTTCAGTTCATATTGTTATGGTGTACAAAGATTACCCCTCAAGAGGCTTTTACTCCCAATACTCCAGTTTCCCCCTTTGACTTATAATAAAGAAGGATGAGTCAAAGGCACAGGATAACCTGTTTTGTCAATGGTGAAAAAGGTGTTACAATACATGGTGTTTCTTGGGGCAGCAAATCAAGCACATTATGCTTAATCTTTAATAAGTCACTTCTTTAATGCACATATTGCCTCTACTACCTATACCTTTTTTTCTCTACTGAACAAAAGGTAAAAGGTAAATGTTAACTTGAAAACTACTCCTTTATGACATCACAAGTTGAAGCAGGGCATTTTGAGCTTTGCAGATGTAGACAGACTATAACCCAGGATTACCAGGATGTGTGAATGAGACAAAACACAACTCTGGGCATGTTTTGAGCAGGTAACAAGATTCTAACATGACTAAAACCTAACAATAGTCACTTTGTTTAGATGTATTACTTTGACATGTTCAACAGTATGGCTTTACATGTAACTATGTCCGTGAAAACATGCTGGTAGCACCATCAGGCCAAGATCTAGGTCATATCTCTGTAGAGCTGACCCCTCTCACAGTATGAATGCATGTTTTTCAAAGTATTTATAAGCAAGAAAAACACCTGTAGTTGAATTAAACAACGTAAATATATTTAATGCCATACTTTGGAACAGAAAAGTGATAACATGCCCATATAAAAGAAAGAAAGAAGCAAATCTCAGATCTTACACCAGAAAAAGTAACCCAGTGCAACTTTAATAATTTATTTATTTATTTACTTATTTATTTTATAGGGACCATGCATATTAATGGACATGTGTAATTATGGTGTAAATATGCCAGATTATAGCAAAAAAATCATTTTCATCTGTTGTCCCTAGGTAAATACAAAATACAAAAACAGTTACACAAGACATAACACAGAAAAGTAAAAGGTCAGATCCTGAAACATGATCTGTGCTTCTCTTTACAGATATGGACTTTGAGCATGAAGTAAACAATGCCCTCATGAGGTTTTTTGACCACTGTCCCAGGTTTGTACAGGATGTGGAGAAGAACTCTACAGCTGTAGTGGAGCTGGAAATGTTCAAGAACGGAGCAGAGATGAGCAGAGTTCTGGAGAAAATAGAAGACAAACTCAATGTTACACACAGACGTATAACTTATGGTAATGTTCGACATAAGATTCAATATGCATGCCATTACTCTTTCAGATATGCCATGCCAGTACAGAAAAAATGACTTTGTATGTGTTTGGGAAGGATTACTGAAAAACCACTAGATGGAGCTATTTAAGCATTGAACTACATCGTGTGGACAATTGGACAATTAGTTAGTAACTGATTTCAGATAAAAGTGCTGGATGGATTCCTCAAAAATATATAAAAGAAAATCACTGGTGAAAGGTAATCAAAGGTAGTCATTTGGATTGGCATCATTTAAAGGTTCCATATTTAAAAAAATTGACTCTTGTGAGGTTTAAGTCATGATATAATGTTGTTTCCTCATCAAAAACATACCTGGAGTTGTGTTTTATTTCATTCAGACAAGTCTAAGTAATCTTTAAGTTTTAGTCTGTCTACATCTCCAAAGCTCAAAATCCTCTGTTTGTGATGTCATGAAGCGGTAATTTTCAAGTTTAACAGATACCATTTACATTTTGTTCAGGAGAAGTTGTATTAAAATAGGGCTAATCCAGGGCTGAAATCATTCAAATGACTCTTGTGAAGGTGTATGGAGTTTAAAAACACAGTGGAGCACTTCCTGTATTACCACATGACATCACAAGGTGGATCAGAGTGTTTTGTGTTTGAGAGAAGAACTCAGCCCATAACTATGCAGGGTGAACAAAACAAAACACAACTCCAGGTACGTTTTTGATTATAACACAGATTAAAAAATTGTGTAATTGGCTCTTTAATTTAGAGACAAACGGGAGATTCTATAATTGAATAAATGCAAGATAGATATGTTAAATACCTTATTATGAACATTTTACTACTTGTAATATGAAGACAAGCATGTAGCAAAGCTACACAATATATCTCTAATTATTTGTTGACATTTCAAAATGGTGCTTTGTAGATATGGCTGAAGCTGCTTTTTTCTTATGCGCTTATGAGTTTGCCATCAACAACAAGAACTCTCCCTGGTGTCAGCTCTTTGACGAGGAGGATGCCAAGGTAAAAGTTATATAGTTAAGTTATACTGACTTATATAGTTTTGAGTCAAATAATGAGAATTAACTTGTTTTGCCCCTTTTTGTATGTGCATTAACAGGTGATGGAGTATGTCAGTGATTTGAGAGAATACTGGAAAAGAGGCTACGGTCATGACATCAACTTTAAATCCAGCTGTATTTTGTTCCATGACTTGTTCGAGCGACTGGAAAAGGCCACAACTCAGATACTGTAAGTTACACAGCCTACTACTGCAACAATACATTGCTTTTTTTTTTTTTTTTTACCTAAAGGGCCCATATTATACTATTTTCTGATCTTCTTCTTTTCTGATTTCATCATAAACATCATCAACATACATGGAGTTGTGTTTTGTTTCATTCACACCTGTTTAACACACAAACCCTACATATTTAGGATGAGTTCAGGAAATGCTCCACTGTGTTTTTAAACTCCATACACCTTCACTAGAGTCATTTGGATAATTCCAGCCCTGGAATTGCAGTCTCTACTGAACGACAGGTAAAAAGTATCTGTTAACTTGAAAACTACTACTTTCATGACATCACAAGGTGGAACAGAGCATTTTGAGCTTGGGAAATGTAGACAGAATAATAATAAAGGATTACTGAAACATGTATGAATGAAACAAAACACAACTCCAGGTATGTTTTTGAGACATTAACAGCATTATAACATGTCTTAAATACAGGACTTGAGAAGAGTATAGAATAAAAAAACTTTCTTATTTCTTTTTTTCCTGCAGGTCTGGTGAGCCTGTGACTAATACTGCCACCATCCAAATTGGTCATGCAGATACCCTCCTTCCGCTGCTCACACTCATGGGCTTTTTTAAGGACAGTGAACCTCTCAAATCTGAAAACTATGCTCCTCAAACAAAACGTTCTTTCCGCACTAGCCACATGCTACCGTACGCTGCTAACCTGGTCCTGGTGCTGTACGACTGTGGAGAAGGGGAGCTCAGACTGCAGCCGCTGCTCAATGAAAAGACTGTGGTGTTTCCAGGTTTGAGTGACACCCAGAGCTCAATGCCTCTGTATGCAGATGTGAAGGAGAGATACAAGGAGCTGCTGCAGGGGTGTGACTTTGAGACAGAGTGTCAGCTTTTCCCAAGTTAACATGAAGACTGTTAACATGTGATAAAGTATTACTTCACAGTCAGTACATTCAATAATAGAACAAGTTCATACTGTTGTTTAAACTCAAAATTTAATTCTAACTATAATAGGCCTAGCTATGCTTAAAGGTCCTATATTATACAAAACCGACTCTTGTGAGCTTTAAGTCATGTTATAATGTTGTTACCACCTCAAAAGCTTTCCTGGAGCTGTGTTTTGTTTCATTCACACATTGTTTGTGTAATCCTTTATTATAAGTCTGTCGACATTTCCAAAGCTGAAAATGCTCTGTTCTACTTTGTGATGTCATAGTGGCAGTTTTCAGTTTAACAGCTACCTCTCACTTTTTGTTGGGGAAAGATGGGCAGTTCCAGGGCTGACATCGTCCAAATGATTCTAATGCAGGTGTATGTAGTTTAAAAACACAGTGGAGCCCTTCCATAACATCACAAGGTGGAACAGGGTGTTTTTAATTTGAGGTAAGAACTCAGCCTAAATATGCAGGGTTTGTGTGTTGAACATGTGTGCATGAAATAAAACACAACACAACAACAACAACATAGATCAGAAAATAGTATGGGTATAATATGGGTATTTTAAACGTATACTCTTTTATATATGCCTTTTATACACAGTTATAATTAGGCTAATGAGCAGTGTATATGTTTAAAGACATATATTTATCAATGGTATGGGATTTTATATCGACTAATATTACTACTACTATTTTATCTAGTAGGAGTAGATTAAAAGTTAGTTTAATATTTAATAGTTCCATAATTAAAAAGTACCTGTCTAATACCTGTGTCATGTTGGTGATGATCCAGCAGGGGGCAGTCACTCATAAATCAGAAAAATGTCAACTTGCTGCGCGCTTATCCAAAATGCCTAGCCTTGTTTAATGTACGTATCAAAGTTTTGCACAATATATTCAGCCATTGCCCACTAATAGGCTATATGTGTGTGCTGGGTGCATTTAAACCAAGTGTTTAGATACGCATACGTATTATTTACGTACTTATTAGTAACGTATAAGCTGCATAAAATATCAACTTTACAGATTGGCTCTTTTGCCGATGTTTGATTTTATTTTATTTTTTTGTAAGCCTAACGGGTACGTCGATGATTTGCCTATTTGCTATTTTAACTGACTAATAAACAAGAGTTTACTTAATCATGATGCCATTTAGCTGAAAAAGCGCTCTCTCATCTGGCAACCTGAAAGTTGGACGATGAGTGGCCAGATGTTTGACCACCACTTCCTTATTTACAGTGGGATTTTTTTCCCTTTGGACATATAGGCTCTTCCCTCAAATATTAATAAATAACTCTCTTTTTCCATTCTGTTTAATAATTTTTGCAGACCTGACGTCACTTTCCGCTGACCGTTATTTTTTATGGGAAGAGCAAAGTACATTTGTTGCATAACCTGTAACGCAATGATGTCCAGCGACTGTAAGTTTGTCTTTTTAACCACTTTAGTTATTTTATATTCGTGCTTTTTTGGCGTGAACTCATTGGATGTTTTCAGTATCCCCACAATCGCCAAATACTTCAGCACCAAGGGGAGGTACGAGGAAGTGAACCCGCATCTCATAGAGGACATTCTGGCCGTAAACACATCTATTATTCGGCCTCCTTCTCCCCAGTGTCGCGAAATCCACCGCCATAATCAGACATGGCACCAGATACCCCACGAGCAAAAACGTCTTAAAGATGCTCGAGTTTTACGACATAGTCAGAAAGTCCGCGGCCACTTCAGGGGACGAGGGCTGGTTGCGTGAGATCCGAGAGGAGTGGACCATGTGGTACACGGAGGACATGGACGGCCGGCTCGTGCAGAAGGGGATGGAGGACCACAGGCATTTGGCGGTGAGACTGTCCAAACTGTTCCCCAGGCTCATATCAGAGGAGAAACTCAGAGGAGGGCTCATCAAGTTCATCACAAGCTCCAAGCATAGGTGTGTTAACAGCACCCTGTCCTTCAAGAGGGGACTGACTGAGCTCTGGGGCATCAAAGGTAACTATTATTCACTGACAATAAATTATGATTTAAAACATATTAAGTTAAATTTGCTTTAGTTGTTAAAGGTCATATATTACACGGAATTGACTCTTGTTAGCTTTAAGCCATGTTATAATGTTGTTACCTTATCAAAAGCATACCTGGAGATGTGTTTTGTTTCATTCACACTTGTCTGAGTAATCTTTTATTATTAGTCTGTTTACATCTCCAAAACTCAAAATGCTCTGTTCCACCTTGTGATGTCATGAAGTGGTAATTTTCAATTTAACAGCTATATTTGACTTTTTTCTGGTAGAGATGGGCAATTCCAGGGCTGAAATCACTCAAATGATTTTAGTGAAGGTGTATGGAGTTTAAAAAACACAGTGGAGCCCTTACATAACATCACAAGGTGAAGCACAGTTTTCAGTTTGAGAGAACAACTAAATATGCAGGGTTTGTGTGTTAAACATGTGTGAATGAACAGAATACATCTACATATGTCATCAAGACTAACTCAAGGAACCGTCTTCATAAATTACATATCTCTTTTTTTCTACAGACATGGAGTTTGACCACACGGTGAATGATGCTCTTATGCGTTTTTTCGACCAGTGCACTAAGTTTCTGCAGGAAGTGAGCGACAACCCCTCAGCTTTGTCTGAAATGGATGAGTTCAATGACGGGCCAGAGATGATGAGAGTCCGGGAGAAGATTGCAGATCGCCTGGGAGTGCCCTATAGTCACATTACACATGGTAAGATTTCAATTATGCAATTTCTGATTTCTTGGGTTTGTTTGAGAATTGAAGCTTCAAACTTGACTACAATAATTCTTTTTTGGGGGCGGAGCTAAAATGCATGTTTTCTCCACTAGATGGCACCATATATTATTACAAGTCTGAGTGTGTTTATATGAGTTTGCAATGCTTTTCACTGGACAGACTGGATTTTACTGAATCACAGGTTGATCCTGCTGAAACTAAAATAGACCAAAGAACAGACACACATACACACATTCACATGACCTAGTCACAGCTCACCAACACATGCTTCTGTCACCTGTTATAGAGCATTAGGACCACAGACAGGAAAACACTCTTTAGGACAGTGAGCAGCTTTTGTATAGATCCAGATCAACCTATCCTATAGAGCAGTGCTAAGTCAAGTTGTGGGCCAGGGACTGTGCTCTGCTGTGGGAGGGCTTCCGGACAACATCCCGCATGGCACATGAACATGTTATGAATGTTAAGCATTTATCATCCTAATATATTTCCAAATAGGCTCTATTCATGCTTATGTCACAAACTAGTATAACGTTTGGAAACATGAGACGACAACTTCCAGCAGGTTTCTGTTCGTGGTAGTAAGTCTGACAAAATCTAGAACATGGCCCAGTTTTCTTCATCTACATGTCACTGTAGTGTTCCGTTATGTTCGGGTAATCAACAGTTACCAGCATACCTCAGTTTTCATAACTTCCCCACTGACACGCAACTCTGAGCGCACTGGATACACGCGATTAGAAGAGATAAGGGTGCCAAATTCAAGATTATTCCAAACAGTATGCAGTATGTCTTCATTTTAGCACTGATGACATTTAATTCAATGGGTTTTATTACACTACACCAGAAGTTGGCATGCATGTTTCCCGGTTTTGCTTTGTGACATAAGCATGAACAAAGCCTATAAAAGAAGTCTTGAGCATGTTACATGTTGTTTTCAGTGGACTAGTTTAATATTTATTTTAAAATATTTTTATGCTTTACACCACACCCTCAGTCTGCTCCACTCCACCCAACATTCAGTCATGGCACACCTCATTTTTAGAGCTTCATGCTCCACTTGAGCTAGTGCTAAGATCCAGGGTAAAATAGGGCCACAAATTTTGAGCTTTCTTAAAATATAAAATGTTCAAATAAAATAACATTAACTCACCTCTGTCACCTCTAAAAATGTAGATATTATGTGTAAGTGTACTTCATGTCAACACCATGATGGCATTAAAATATGTCAGATTTAATTTGGTGACTAAATTATTCCCATTGTGCTGCTTTGGTTAGTTTATAAACTAACCAAACTTGCCAGTAGGCAGGCTACCATCAGATCTGTAGATAACTACACAGAGCCAAGGAGCTGCCAGACTCTGACAGGGATCAGCGTGCACATTCTTTGACAGGTCAGGGCTGTGACAGAGGAGCAGACGCACGTCTCGTATGTGTTGCTGTCTTGACAGCAGTGGTCAGTAGAGCTTTGTCCAGCGGCTAAAGAGACGAATAATGCACATGAGCACTGGTCTGTACAGACCTGCTCTGAGTGCTCATGGCTCATATCAGTCACTTGTGCGGGGCAAATGCAGGTCTTGCATCCCATGTGTAAATGGTTTAATCCGCAAGACATTTACCTATGTGGGACCAAATGCAGTGGACACCCATGAGACGAGAATGTGAGTGGTCAGCAGTTGGAGTGGTGGACCTTCGTACCTCAGGTGAGTCCATAGTAGTGGACTGCTGGGACAGGTGGGCGCGGGTGCGACCAGGGGGAGAACAGTGGTCAGCAGGTCTGCTGTGGGATGAGGAGCACATGAGATAGACACTGGTCTGCTGTGTAATGGAAGGCAAACAAACAGAGGAACACAGAGAAAACTAAAAAGGCTGACTTCTGTGCGGTGTTCGGAGTGGTCGGAACATAAACCCAGCTAGTTCTGTCACAGCCCATCCAAAATTCTATATTCCTAGTGCCTCTACTGGTGCGTACTTGCATCATGGAGCTCCTGAGCTGTTTTATTGTACCCATATACAATTTTTCTCCACACCTCTCTTTGCTATCTGGTAATGAGGCAAAGATTGCAGACATTACCCACACTGGTAGTGCTTTTAAATGCTACAGCAGTCACAGATCAGTTGAGATGTCATCATCATACCGTCCCACTCCTGCCTCCAGCAGCGAAGTACAGCCTGACCTGGACACACCCCCTCATTAATGCCAGCACTGGTGCTAAGATGGGAGGCAAGATAGGGCCCATAGTCTATACTTGTCAGACATTCAAAACATGTACACTTAATGAAAAGAAAGAAAGAAAAAATTGGTAAAAACATTCAAGGGAATCTCACCCTTTTGCCTTTTACTCATCAATAACCCTAGACTGGAGTTTCACCTAGTCATTGTTTTATAAATAGCAAGGACTTTCACCCATATGACTGTTTACTAGCTAGTAATAATTTCACCCAGGGAATCTGATTTCTTGTACTTAGCTGTAGATTATTTTATTTTTTTCCACTTTATTTAGGAGAATAAATTCAAAGTGTGTCAAAGTATATCTGATGGATTATCAGATAGCTATCATGTTAAATCACAAGGACGGACAAACCAGAAAAAACTCTTCTCAAGGATTCTTCAGACTGACTGATTACAGTTTGGTCAACAGTCATCGCAGTCACATGGAGCTGGATCAGGAGTGGGGCTAGAGACTGGGACACAGCAAGAGGCAGGGGCATCACAGGGATTGAATGATTGACAAGAAGTAGGGTTATCTGTCATATGAGGGTGAGTTGTTGTACAGTTTCAGGTGCTTTTCTCTTCTTCTGATGTCATTAGTTGACTTAGCTCTTCAGCTGGAGTTGATTTCTGTCCATATCTCCTCCAAAAATAGTCAGTGTGATATATTTCAGAAGATAGTGTTAATGCAAACTGCTCATGATATAGAAGGCAGTCTGTCTCCAGTGTTCAAGGTTACAACAGATAAAGCTTGATTCATTGGAAATCTTCTTGTATTCTTTTTATTGGATCTCCTCCCATATTTGCTCTGCTTACGTGTTAGCTGGTGAGTTTGTGGTTTATGAAATTGTGAATCCTGTTTGACATTTTCATTTTCATGTCTCTGGGTCCTATTGTACAAAGTTACCGCAGCCTCTCTCGTGTCATTATTTTCTTTCTCAGTAGTTGTTCATTTGCATGTTTGGCATGTCTGTTGAGCAGCATTCCAGAAAATCCCAATTTTTTCACAGCTGAAGAGTTTCTCAAACAAGTGACACCTAAGTGATGAGGTCTGGTAAATCCACTGTACTTGTTATATACTTCTGTGAGAAACTCTTCAGGGTCTTCAGTGTGATCTAATTAAAGGCACTGTTGTGGAACTGTGGAACTTTTCTGGTAGAGGGTCCACTCCATGTAGTTTTTTCCTGAATTGTTCTACAGTAATTAAGTAAGTAACTAACCATGGAGACAAGCAGGCCACATTACTTGACTAAGTTACTTGTCAGATCTGAGGAGAAGAGGACACACTCACAGAAATAATGTTTTTGAGAAATAAAAACCTGTAATTTAATAAATACAAGATATATTTTTTTAATGCCATACTGTGGAACATCTCAGTCAAAGCAATAACATTACTGTGGATACAAGCAGACAGCGGACCTTCTCCCAGAAAATTTTACCTGTTAAACCTCAGCTGTATTTACCACTTTTTACACACCATTTTATCTTACTTACTTTCAGTATTAATTCATTAGAGATGGTTTTCTGTGTACTTCTTGCATTCAGTATATTGTGTTTTATGTTTTAGTAACCACAAAGTATAATAAACTACCTACAGCTCTTACTGATTTATGGACAATGTCTTTCAGATTCATCTGAGGCGGCCTTTTACTTGTGTGCCTATGAATTTGCCATCAAAACTGTCAACTCACCCTGGTGTCAGCTTTTTGATGAAGTCGATGCACAGGTATCCGTTCTGCACGTAGCTCTATGGGAAGTTTGTTTAGGATTTGTGTGACCTACTGCACACATTACCAAACTGTCAAAAACCTGATTGTCTGGAAAAAAAAAAAGGATTTAAATGGAATTTAAACGTCCAAAACCTATGATTAGTATGAATGTTCATGGTCCGGTTTAGGTGTTTTATTTTCAATAGAAAGGTGAAAGTAACTAACTGAAAAACTGCTGGCTTATGTTAGCTATCTTGTGACTTTAATTTTATGTGTGAGAGATCAGCTCACTTTTGTAGTCCCAGTTAAGTTACTGTATCTCTTTCTGGTCAGATTGTGCTAAAGTAAAGATTAGATTAAGACAGAGTTAGGGCTTCAGTTAGCGTCACACTCCCAGCAGATGTGGATAACATCAGCTGTAAAGTATCAATAGTAATTCTATAGATTTACCATGTCAGCCATTACGTTTAGCTATATGTTTGTTTCATAATTATAATATTCTGAACTAGTAGACTACCAGTTGTTGCAATGTAAGGCAGTTTCTATCTATCTATCTAGTTTTCCTTGTTTTGCCCCACTGCACTATTCTCTCCAGTTAATACCCAGTGGCTATCTATGTCTATGAAAGAGTTCATTGTGGCCTGTTCATTGTGTTAAAGTACTGACCTAACTCTCAGGTAATTTGAGTTAGTGGTCACAATAATCAAATTACAAACACTGCATGTATTTAAGTGACGGCATTTCCTCTGCAAGCATCTGAATCAGGGGCACCTGAAGTGGGGGCCTTCAAGGAGTCTAATTTGGCCCTCCGTGGATTGCTGAGATTTGTAAAGTCTAGTTTGATTTAAGTAAGCACTGAAAAGAGTGTTAGGAAATGAAAGGAAGCTCATACCAGTCGATTCCCCTAAAAAGAACAATAATTAAACAGCATTTAATCACAAATATCTTTGCAGACAAAATTTTTATGTGAAAGACATTAATAGGTTTGGCCCTTATCCCATTAATATGCATTAATTGTGGACCACTGGGGAAAAAGAAATCTGTATAAAACTTGCCGATTTGAATTATTTATTTATTTATTTAGCTTATTTCTATTTTGCTAATTAACAAAGCTTTATAAAATAATTAAAACAAATGTTAACCTTTTATGAAAAGAGAGCTATTCAAGGTACAAAAACTGTAACACTTTTCCACTGCAAACAATCATGTGATATTCCCATAGCTGTATATGCAATGACAAAAATAACAAACAAAAAACAAAAACAAAAAAGGATGGTATTGATATTAGGGTAGCATAGTATAGAAAATTATACTCATCAATACTACATCTAGGATCAAAACTAGATACTTATTTAAGCAACTGGATACATTTAAACTTCTCCTGAACTAGTGCAAGACCACATGGCTACTAAACAAATACTATTATTTGTAGCTGAATATGTGTTGGAAATTACAGTACTGTCTAAATCATGCAGCACTAGTTAGAAGTCTGACTAGTGTTAGCAGTGTGGCATGTACTACTTTTTATTTATTGTTTATTGTTTATTGATAGGTTCCTCATTAGTGCAAAAAAGTTGACACTATTCTTCATGGGGTCCAAATACAATAATTGCAAAAAAAAAAAAAGGTGCATATCAGCCATATATAAGTTATTAATACAAAATAGGTGAATATACATTTCAGATAATAAAATCTTTCATTACTTTTACACATCCTCAATCCCTTACAGGTTATGGAGTATTCTAATGACTTGAAGCAGTTCTGGAAAAGGGCCTACGGCTACGACATCAACAGCAAATCCAGCTGTATTCTCTTCCATGACGTGTTCAGTCGACTGGACAAGGCAGCCAATGAAAACCAGTATGTGAACTACCTTTCTCTAACTGAACAATATTTACACATCTTTATAAGCAATTAAAGGGTTGTTTAAAGGTGCATTGTGTAATTTTTCTGGTGGAGGGAGCGTCAAATGCTTTTCTCCATGGAGATGCTATTGCTTTCATTGGAATGTTTCACAGTATGATATTAAACCTTTCTATCTTCATGGAGAACAAACCATACCAAATTACAGGTCAGATCTACGGAGAGGCGACCCTGCTCACAGTCAGATGCCTGTTTTTCTAGGTATATTTGAGCTACCTGTAACCACCTGTAATTGAATAAATGTAAGGTAGAGCTGTTTAATGTCATATTGTGGAACATTCCAAACAGGTGACACTTCCCCAACCAAAAAATTACATAGTGCACCTTTAAATAAGCCAGAGAGATTTTTTTTGCTAATAAATTCAGTTTGCCATTAGGGCTTTTGAAGTGTGACATATTGCTTAAATAAACCAATAACGATGATACCATAATAAATAATGGTAATACAGGACGTGCTTTGCTGTGTTTTTCATACACCTTCATTTCAGTCATTTAGATCATTTCAACCCTGGAAATGCCAATCTCTACTTAACTAAAGATAAAAGATAAAAGGTAAAAACTTGCCATCTGTTCCAAATGCTCTGTTTTCAAGGTGCAGAGCATTTTGAGCTTTGGAGATGTGGACGGACTGTTAATAAAGTGTTACTCTGACGTGTGAATGAAACAAAACACAACTCGTGGTATGTTTTTGATGAGGTTGCAACATTTTAGCATGGCTTAAAGCTTACAAGAATGCATTTTGTGTAATATACTACACAAAATAAGACAAAGTTCTCTACTGGTGCTAAGAAAAGAAACATTATATGAATAAATACTGAGCCTCAAAATATATTGTTCCATCATTTATTGAATGATAAATGTAAAGGTGTATACAGGAATGATCATTACAGGCCTACTTGCCATACAAAATTAAAAAAACGTGTTGGCAGTTTTAACCATTAACCTCATTTAACGAGTTATTTATTCAAAATATATACTTCTGTAATATCCTGTTAAGTGCCAAGTGGATTCACAGCTTCATAAAGTAGTCATAGTTTTACATCAGTTAAGCGTAGGTTTGTGGCAAAAGAAGTTGAGTAAAATCGTCATCAGCCTGAGACCGCGCGGACCACGTCTCCTTCCGTAGCTACTGCGCGGACACCGACATCCTCCCGTGCGCCGCGTGTGGACCGTGTTTTCTCGCTTACGCTGCGTAGACCGCGCTTCCTCCTGTACGCCTCTAAACCAGAACTAACACCAAGACTAAAACCAGGACTAACCCAGTCCAGGAATAAACCAGGACTAAATTAGGACTAAACCAGGTCTAAGCCAGGTCTAAACCAGGTCTAAACCAGGACTAAAACCAGGACTAAAACCAGGACTAAACCAGGTCTAAAATCAGGACTAAACCAGGACTAAAACCAGGTCTAAACAATATGACACCTAACAGTAGGTTGGACATAATTTAAGGTGATCTCATATAAAAATTATTTCTCTATCAATAATATTTTTTTAATATGGTTAAGGAAAGACTGGGCTTTTTATTGTCTTTAAGCAGACAAAACACCTTATGTTAACATCCTGGTCTTTGCTTCTCTACAGCAAACAGTTGCTTATTCATGGAGACTTTGGCTCAACAGACAATTTGAAGAGAATAAACAAGAATTTTCAGGATGTGGTTGCTACATTCATTAGTTTTAAAAAGCATGACAATATCAAGTAATCCAAAGTAATCAGAGTGCATTACTCACTTTAAGTAAATTAATGGATTACGTTACAAACTACATTTTAGGGTATGTAATCTGTAATCTGTAGGGGAATACATTTTAAAAGTAACCTTCCCAACACTGCCTGTATGATATATTGAACAAAACTGCCATCCAGAATGCAGAAACATTTTCCAAAAGAGACACTTTTTTTTTTTCTTTAAACCTTCTTTTAAAGAAACAAAGTTGTTAGATAACAAAGCTCTGATGTGTTTGTATTTAGTCTTATCATTATTGTTATGTGGCCAAACCTCTTTGTCTAAGCCTGGTCGGCCTCGTCAGATCTCAGAAGCTAAAAAGGCCAGACCTGGTTAGTACTTGGATAAACTCCACCAATAGAAAAAACACTACTAAAACTACAAAATCTTGTAATATAAATGAAATAGATATAATCGTAGTAGTCTAACCTGTCACATGGACTTTGTGTTTTGTTTTTTTCTTTTAGACGTGGTTCTCCAGTGACTGAAGCTGTGACTATCCAGATTGGCCATGCTGAGACTCTCTTACCTCTCCTTACATTACTGGGCTTCTTTAAGGACAGTGAACCTCTCAAATCTGAAAACTACGCCTCTCAAGCCAAACGCTCTTTCCGCACTAGCCATATGCTACCGTACGCTGCTAACCTGGTTCTGGTGCTGTATGACTGTGGAGAAGGGGAGCTCAGACTGCAGCCGCTGCTCAATGAAAAGACTGTGGTGTTTCCAGGTTTGAGTGACACCCAGAGCTCAATGCCTCTGTATGCAGATGTGAAGGAGAAATACAAGGAGCTGCTGCAGGGGTGTGACTTTGAGACAGAGTGTCAACTGTTTGAATAAAAGAAGAAGAAATAAGACTATAAGTGTGAAATATCTACAAAGTCTCACACTGATATTGGACACCATGTTTTGCTTTGTTTTTAATTGAGAAAATGTCCTATTTGTAAAATAAAATAATTTTGCCACTCTCAAAAATTAACTCCAGTAAAATATCAGCAAAATACTGGTGTCAAGCATTGGCTGTGCAAGATAAATAGATAGATAAATACTTGATTGATTCCAAAGAAATTTCAATTTTTGGCAGCAACAATGAAACATAATGATATCAATAATAATACAGCAGTAATTCATAATTTATGAGAGAAGTGGACTAAGGGAGCGTGACATCATAGGGTTGCCTGTGTCTATTTATATATATATAGTCTATGGTGTCAAGAAAAAGACTTTGAACCAAGCCAATAGTGAGGATTCTGCCTCAGAAAGTCCAAATTACTTGCATTACTAAATTGTTTACCATGGACTTCACTGGGGTGCCAACATTAAAGACGGACTCTGCACAGCTATACCAATTAAGTATTCACTTAAGGAGCTATATTATTCAAAGCTGACTCTTTAGCTTAAAGCCATGTTAGAATGTTGTTTCTTCATCAAAAACATACCCGGAGTTGTGTTTTGTTTCATTCACACATGTTTGAGTAATCCTTTATTATTAGTCTGTCTGCATCTTCAAAGCTCAAAATGCTCTTTTCCACCTTGTGATGTCACAAAGCTGTAGTTTTCAAGTTACAGCTACCGCCACCTTTTACCTTTTGTTTAGTAGAATGTTTTTAGTGAATGAGTATGGAATTTGAAAACACAGTGGAGCATTTCTATTACCACATGATATCACAAGGTGGAACAGTGTTTTCTGTTTGAGAGAAAAACAGCCTAAATGTGCAGGGTTTGTGTGTTAAACATGTGTTATGTGTATGTTTTTGATGAGGAAACAACATTATAACATAGACCAGAAAACAGAGTAATATGGGCCCTTTAAGTATGTGATAGGACCAAAACTACTGCTACTAGTGTGTATTACTATTCAGTAAATATTTTTATTTACCATTTTGAACAATGGGTTTTAAAGAAATGCATTGCACCTCTTCTATATTATTTTGGTGTTATTAATAGTTCTGTTTTCATAATAAAAAAAAAAAAGAGTATAATGGCTTGTAAGAATGGAACTTGAACAATACTTGTAGTGAGTAGATAGGATTTCACTTTTGAGATCCAGATAGGAGCACCGGCACCGTAACTCTTTGTTAGTTGGCCTAAATCAAGTTTCAGATGAGGGCAAAGATAATAAAACTGTAACTTGTAACCCAGTCAGGGCAAAAATACAAGAACTATACAAAATTATTCATTCTTTGACCAGGAAATAGTTGACAGTGAACAGCATCAATGCATTTAAATAGTCAAACCAGAGTGAGAACTACAAAAAAACTAAGTATAGGACTTCCGACCAAGAGGATTAGTCCATTGTGCATGTCAGAGGGAGAGTATGCAAATTCCTCACATAAAGACCCAAATTAGTTTCAGTATAAAATTGCACTTTCTTGTTGTAAGAAACCAAACAAGTGGCAAAGTGCAGATGGTCACTGGAATAAAGAATTGAATAATAAAAAATAGCTACAGTAAATTGTTATAGATGTTTTCTGGTCTGTTATAATGTTGTTTGCTCATCAAACACATGCTTGGAGTTGTGCTTAGTTTCATTCAGACATGTTTTACACACACACACCCTGTCATTTGATAATACAGGTGCTCCACTGTGTGTGTGTTTTTTTTTTTTATCTCCATACACCTACACAATCGTCATAGGGATGATTTCAGCCCTAGAATTGACTATCTGCTGAACGGTAAAAGGTAGCTGTTAACTTGAAAACTACCGCTTCATGACATCATAAGGTGGACAGAGCATTTTGAGCGTTGGAGATGTACACAGACTAAGAGTTACTCAAACGTGTGAATGAACCAAAACACAGCTCCATGCTTGTTTTGATGAGGAAGCAACATTACAACACGGCTTCAAGCTCGTAGTAGTAGATTTTGTAAGAGTATGCTACTTAAAATTTTCACATTTTGACCTGGAAAGTTGTCTGCTAAATTGGATTACTTCTTATTGACGCGCTCGTTGACGATGATTGTTATTTGTCTTGCGCTGATTTAAAAAACATCAACTAAACCCACGGGCTAAATCTGCATTACTGTGGTATTCGCCCCAGGAGGAGGCAAAACAGGCTTTATAGCGCATAACATCACGCAAAGTAGTTTTCTTATCTTACTCAATCTTCTACTTAGGCTTGTAACTTTCTCAGATCGGCCTTTGCTGTGTCGTCGTGACCAAGCATTGGCTGCGTTTTTTTCATTATGCAGAGGAGGGCTGCTGGAGGCTGGGCAAGAGGAATGCTACGTGTCTTGAAGGTCCCTTTTTAAAGCCCCTCGCCTCCCTTTAGCCGTCCAAAACTTTAGAGGCTAGCTCGAAGTTTGAAGAACCTTTGGCAGTGATTTTGTCCCGATCTTTACCCCGTGCCGCGTTCGGTTTGTGTGCGACAATAAGGAAGACATGTCCGGCGTGAAGAAACTTCGTACGGTAAGTAAGATGTGCAGATAAAAGTAGCCAAAACTACAGTATAACACAGGTTTAGATTTGCTTGGCAGTATTTGGGGAAAGTACGCCGCCTTAATGCTAAAAAAATAGTGCGTAAAAGTCCTTTCCAACGCAGCGCTTGTTTTGGTTTTATCAAGTTATCTCAGAGTTGGTAGCAGTGTTGTTAGTAGCCTGTAAGTATCTTCACTGGTTAAAAAGACACATTTCCGAAATAACTGAGTCAATGGCGGTGTGACACTTGGCGATCTTCGATTAGACGTACGCGTAAAAACCCAGGTGTGAAGACATTCTGAAAAGGTTCTCGTGAATAGGCTGCTTGTTGGAGTAACGTATCCGTCAATTTGTCCCATTCATCGGGTGAGCTGCTGAGTGGGAGAAAGGAGTCACTGTGAGGAGGCAGGCTCAAATACCGGGCAGAAGTTGAGTTTGCAGACTTGGAAAAATACGGACATCCACGTCTACTTAAAGCTAAACCAAACATAATAAGACCTTTTAGTAGGATGCACAGTTGACGATTTATTTTGGACATCTGAATGACAAATGTAATTCCACAAGCTATTATTCATAATTCTAGGGTTAAACCTACCAGTGTCTCCTGCTTTATCTTGCTTTATGCTATCTCAAGAAAAAACATGTCTATTCCAACAGTTTTTTTCGATTTTTTCTATTATATACTTTTTAATTAGTTCATCAAATTAGCTTTATGCTTGTAGTGCTTTGTTTTTCCACAAATAATCACACCAACTGTCGGGACAGGACTAGACCAAGTCTAACTAAAATACTATTCATTGATCCATCACCATTCAACTTAATAACAGACAACTCTTAAACCCATGTCTACAACAGTTAATGAAACTGTGGCCTAGTAAGAGTATTTTCTTTTCAACAGTGTGTATCTATGGAAATAATTGGCAGTAATCAATTCCCAAAGCCTTGCGAGTTATGAAACAGAAAGCAGATATATATATTTTGGCCTCAGGATTAACATCGAGATTAAAACAATACAAGATGTGGTACATTTCAAGGGAGATCGTATCTCCCTTGAAATGTACTTGGCCTCATTGTATCTACTGTAAGTCAAAACACTATTGGCATGACTAATAAGCAAGAATGTGTTACATGAAAAGTTTTCTTTCTATAAGACAAAATTATTGTTAAGATAAAATAAAACTGAATATTTTATTTTCCATTACAATAATGTATGTGTACATCATCCTTGTCTTAAGGTGCACTATGTAACGTTTTGGTTGGGGGTTTGTCACCGTCTTGTTTCTATGAGTATGTTTTTGCTTTGCCTGGAATGTTCCACAGTATAACATTAAACAGCCTTATATTTATTAAATTACAGGTTTAACAGCTCACTAATACCTAGAAAAACAGGCATTCTGACTATGAGCAGGGTGACCTCTCCACAGATCTTTCTTGTAACTTGGTCTGGTTTGGTTTCCATGATCATAGAAAGGTTTAATACCATACTGTGAAACATTCTATATAAAGCAGTAACATCTCCATGGAGAAAAGCATTTGACGCACCCTCCACCAGAAAAGATAGATAAGGCACCTTTTAAAGTAATGAACAGCCCTCTTAATATGTCATTGATTGGTGCAATGAAAAAGAGATGGCGAGATGACATGGGCGAGTCTTGGGTGGGCGGGCAGAGGGTGAACATGTGGGCATTGAGCGTTGCCACATCATCACTGGGTTCCTGGTCCGGGCAGTACACTGGTCGCACTGTCTCACTGTCTCTCCTCCTCCTCCTCCCTCTCCCCCACTCGGTCACTATTAAGATAGGCCCATTCATTCTATCTCTGCTTCATGTAAATCTCCTCAAGTCCAGCACAGTTTGAGATATCAGGTTTACAGAAAAGAGTGTGTTAATCTAGTGACATGTTATCCCAAATGTTTTAATCTTGTCAGTAGTGCTGCAGTTGACTGAAGAAGTTACTGGTTGACTAAAGAATACCGATTATATTAGTTGACTAAAAGGGGGCGTAGCAAAAGCTCTCAAAACTATTACATATCTCTATGTACCTGATCCAAACTGCACTCACAGGACTACACCTACATGGCAGTTCATGCAAAAACAACTATTTAAGATGAAAAAGTACTAGGAAACAAATGTATTTATATCAAGACAGATTAAACTAGTGAATCTTGATCCTCCCTAATCTGACTTATTACATATGTCAAAAAATTACCAAATCTTCAGCTAACTCTCTCACTCACTAACTTCTCCTTTCTGCCGTTGTCTCAAATAAACCCTATAATCTAAATAAAAATATAAAAATTTTGGTCAACTAAGACTCCATGGACCAATTAATCAAGTAAATGTCCTAAAGGTGCACTATGAAGCTTTTTGGTTCAGGGTCTGTCACCTGCTTGTTTTTATGGAAATGTCATTTCTCTGCCTGAAATGTTCCACAGTATCGCATGAAACAGCTCAACCTTACATTTATAAAATTACAGGTGGGTGTGTAGCTCAAAAATACCTATAAAACAGATTCTGACTGTGAGCAGGTTTGTGTCTTCACAGATGTGACCTGTAAC